GAAAAGATTAGCTTCTGTTCAAATTCATAAACAGAAGCTTGAAGAGATTAGATGACAATGATTTAAAGAGAAGATGATGATGAATGTGATTCTTATATCTACTGTGATTGATAATATATATAATATGAAAGTTATAATAGACAGTGATCTATATCACTATATAATGATAAAATCTTCAGTTATAAGATATTATAATCTTCAGTGTATCTCTTTATTAAAATCTCAACTTCTCACAGAATTTGATGATTCAAAAGACATTTGTACCTGTTACATGATAAAGCTGATCATAGATGTAAGAGAATATCAATGTGAAGATGTCTATACATATGAAGTTAATAATCTTGATTATAATTTTATGCTAGAACTTGTCTGACTATCTGAACAAGATATCTTATTAAATGCTTGAAACAGAAGCTTGATATTCTCTAACAATGATAGAATTCATGAAGATGACATTTACAAGACTATTAATCTGACACAGATCTCTGTCAATATCTATAAAATGCTCAGAAAAAGAAGTCACTGAAAGAATCACTGATAGTAGAATTATATATCAATCTATTCTATCAGTCTGACTGATATTAAAAAGACTCTAGAAAAATTATCTTATATTACAATAACAGATGCTTGTATGAAACTCTCTCAACAATATTATGCATATCTAGATGTCTTTCAAGAAGATAATATTATAAATATACCTCTCTTATGAGATTTCAGAGTGAATCACAGTATTAAGTTAGAGAAAAAGAATAATAAGAATTCTGAACTGTTATAAGGCTCTCTTTATAACATGTTCTGAGATGAACTTCTTCTTCTTCAAAAGACACTCAATAATCTGTTGAATAAAGAATTTATATATATTAGTAACTCTTCTGCTGCAGTCTCTATTCTCTTTACAAAGAAATTAGATGAAGAACTCTGATTCTGTGTGAACTATCAAGGTCTGAACAGATTGATAAAGAAAGATCAATATCTCTTATCTCTTATCAATGAAATCCTAGCACAGATCAGATGAGCTCAATGATTTATAAAACTAGATATTATCACTGTGTTTCATAAGATTTATATCACTGAAGAAGATGAATGACTTACAGCATTCTGAATATATTATAATCTCTTTGAATAAATAGTCACACTCTTTGAACTGACTAACACTCTCAGTACATTTCAGAAGTATATTAACTGAGTGCTCTGAGATTTTCTTAATAAGTTTGTATCTACTTATCTAGATGACATTCTCATCTTCATCAATGAATTCAGAAAAGAATATCAAGAGTATATGTGAAAGATATTATAATAACTATGAGAAGCAGAACTACTGATAGATATTGATAAGTGTGATTTTGAAGTCAAGAGTATCAAGTATCTGAGTTTTATTATAGAAGCTAGTAAGAGAATTTGAATAAATTCTGAGAAAGTCTCTGCTATTCTTGAATGAGAAGCTCTGTGTACTGTGAAAGATGTATAAAGCTTCATCAGATTTACTAACTTCTATCAGTGATTTATATGAAACTTCTCAGATATTATAAGATCACTTACAGACCTTACTAAGAAAGACTCAGTATTTCAATAATCAGTGAATGCTGAAGCTGTATTTACACAGATAAAGAAGATATTTATTAATACTTCTCTGCTAATAATATTTAATTCTGATCATAAGACAGTTGTTGAAGCTGATTTCTCTGACTATGTAACAAAAGAAGTGATATTATAATATAATAATAAAGAAGTTCTATAATCATGTATCTTCATATCTAAGAAACTGAGTTCTGCTGAATACAATTATAAGATCTATGATAAGAAACTTCTCATAATTATATACTGTTTAGAAGAATAAGACTCTGAACTCTGAAGTATCTCTGAATTTAAAATAGTCACAGATTATAAGAACCTTAAATACTTCATAACTATCTATAAACTCACTGAATAACAGATATAATAATCTGAGTTCTTAAGCTGCTTTCATTTTACAATACACTACTGTTCTGATAGTCAGAACTTGATGACAGATACTCTCTTACAATGAGAGTAAGATATACTATCTAATATAACAGATACTCACTGAATGAACTGAGAGCATCAGCTCTTGAACCTGAAGATACTAGTTGATCAAGATAAAACAGTTCATGACACTATATATACTTTCTCAGTTAGAACTGTTATTAATATCTTCACTTTCTCTACACTGAATGAACTGTGATATACAGCAGCTCAGACAGATGAACTTCTTCAGACTCTTATTAAAGCAGTATATCAAGAAGTATTCTGATTTCCCTCAGAACTACATATAAGAACTGATATCTCAGAATGTTTAATTAATGATAATAATACTCTACAATTCTGTGAATAACACTGAGTCTCTCACTCTGAATTCTTATACACTCAGATAATGCAAGAGATGCATGATTCATGTATAACTGATTATTCAGGCTGTGAACAACTGTATAGAATGATCTTCTGAGAGTTCTACTAACTCAAGATATTAAATAGTATCAGATACTTTGTTTAAAACTGCAATTACTATTCTTCTATTATCTCATGAAAGAACTGTAGAAAAGGTCTATTGAAATCACTCAATATTCTTAATAGAATCTGATAAGATGTAGTAATTAACTTCACTGTTAATCTATCTGAGAGCAAGTATTGTAGAAACATTCTGATCATTGTGAATTAACTGAGCAAAGATGTAATATTGAAATCTTATGATAAGATAAATGCTGAACAAGTCACTGAAGCTTTTCTACAGAGCCTGTTCTATTAGATACATGAATTACTGAGATCTATAGTATTAAATTGAGACTGTTAATTTGTGAGTGCTCTCTGAACAAGAATCTGTCAAGTTCTCAAGATTATACACTGTCTATTAACTGTCTATCACTCTGAGACTGATGATGTGTCAGAATAGATAATTCAGACTATGAAGAATTATCTCTGAAAGTTCTGTAATCACTTATAAGATAATTGATATGATCTTCTTCTACATGCAGAGATTGCTATCAACAGTCAAGATATCATTTCAACAGATATAAGTCTATTCTTTCTTACACATGAATATTACATGAAAGTGTTGAATCTTCTAGAGATCACACAGTTCATATCAGATCTCTGTAGCTCAATTCAGATCACTGATAATATAGTAATAAAACTCTGAGATATTTGTAATTAAGCAGAGGTCTTCATAACAACTGTGAAACAAGATTAAGAGAATTAAATCAATGTTTATCAAGACTCTGCTGAACAATATAAGATAGAAGATCTGATATAATTGAATCTTAAGAATATACAAATTATATATTTATCTTGTATACTAGATTATCATCATATCAAGTATAAAGTGATAGAAGTTCTAGATAGTCACAACTACTGTCTTAACATATTATCAGAGATTCATGATGTATTTCACACAAGCTTGTTTTATCACACTGTCACTGATCTGTTCCCTTCTTAACTGACTTCTGACTGACAGTTATCAGATATCATAGAAGAAGATAATGAGCTTGAGTGAGAGATTGAGAATATTCTTGATAAGAGATCTTATAACTGCAGCTGATAATATTTTATGAAATGAGTTGACTACAATTAACTGATCTGAACTCTGAGTTTCATATTATCTGAAACAGTGATTCTTGACTGATGAGAACTGCTTCTGAAAGAGAGAACTAATGTGACAGACTGCATCTGATTAATTATATAGACTATTCTGTTACACTTCACAGATTTCAATCACTTTATTCTTGAATATGTATGCTCTGATTCTCAGTCATTCTCAATTGCTGATTCTCAGCTGCTACAAACATGTGTATATCATTCTCAAATGCATACACTTCAATTCTCAGCTATTCTCAATCACTGATTCTCAGTCACTATGAACATGTATATATTCTCCCGCTCCGAAGTTCCATCATGTACATCATTACATATATATATAAATATTCATCTCAATCACTGATTCTCACACTTTCTCTTTCTTTTCTTCTCTAATGTTTTTATCTTTGTTATATAAGATCTATAATATTATACTAATCTATTCAGTGTAGGCTTCTTATACATCTAGCTTAAATATCTCTGAGATAGTCACTTTTCAGTTCATTACAGATGTTAATAAGCTCACACTTAATTCTTCTTATACTTTAGATATTTATGAATTTCTTCTTCTACATATTGATATATAATTCTTTATTAAGTCAGGCTTTTCACTTAATCTCAGATTCATTATAAATTCAATTAATTAATAAATCATCTAGATATGCTTGTAATTAGACTGACTGTGTAACCGTGTCTGAGACTAGAACTAGATTTTTTAATAGTTTTATTATCAATTTGACTGATCTCATTACACAGTTTTAACATTAGATAGTAATCTTATACTGTTTCAGTGAGACTTACTATCTACTCTTATCACATTTTTCAAATAAGATTATGATTTTCACTTCTTAATTTAAATTATTTTTATTACTTTAAATGACTTTAAATCTTATTTAAGTGTTATCAAAAAGTGTTACTTTTTAAAAAATTAAAAATAGTTTAAAAAAAACCTTAAAATGTCTAAAAATAGTAACTTTATACTAAGAATGAGACTAAATGAAATTAAATGAGATCACTTTCTCATTTTTTTCAAGTCATGATTTCATTTTAAGATCTGATATATAGTCACTTTACATGTTTTTTTAATAGCCAGTCCCAGCGGGATTCACACTAAGAAATGTATGAGACCAGACCAAATGAGACCAAACATGAAATTCATGATCCCGGCGGCCAGTCTACTTGTAATGATGTGTGAAGATGTCAATTTAGCATGTTATTGCAGTTATTCATTGCTTGTAAAGAGCTTCATAATCTCTTAGAGAATAATGTTATTGTGTTATAATCTAACTACACGAGTTACACTAAATGGATAGGTTGGGGTGGCACGTGACTAGGGTAGGTGTAGTAATCACCAATACATCTATAATTGAAGAATAGTAATAATAATAATAGGTTGGGAATGATGTCAAGGAGCGGGCGCGCTAGTCCGTACTAGGAAGCCTAGGGCTTCCTACACTCTCAAGCTCCTCATGCCAATTCTGGGGTGGAGGAGACGTAGATATATGAAACGTCTCTTTTTTTCTTACTCCTCCCGGTTAGAATTTCATAACAATTGGAGCTAGGAATATACCTCCCAGCCTTCCCTCCCTATCCCTCACGATGACTCCTCCCCATCTCCGACACCAAGTCATCCGGATCTACAAAGGTACGCCAGCAGAGGAGAAAAGGAAACATAAATAAAAACAGAACTTACACTTAAGACGACATACCATATTCGTCGCCTAATCCCGTTCCTCCAATGCCACCCCACCATTAGTCACTATCTAATCATTAGCTGACTGTTACCCGCTCCTCCGGCGCGATACAGAGCTCCTCTTCCTCGGCCGTGAATACCCTCTCGGCTACCAATTCTTCCGCGAACGCTTACACCGCGCTTTCGCGAGTCAGGCTCACATCACTGATGAGGGGAAAATCATAGACGGGATACGGAGGGCGGAGTTTGTCAAGAAAGGTGAGCACTTTGCTCTGTGTTCTCTATTGAGTTATTGGACCCTTGCGGCATACATTCCCCGGGAAGGAGTGTGACTAAGATCAGAACCCCGGGGTTTGAAAATGTTTACTCCTCTCCGCTGGGATATGCTGAGTCGTGGAATGCTTGGGGCTCGCTCATGCTTTTTAGGCGTGGGGGGGCCGGCCTCTGGGAAGGAGTTTGGAAGCTTGATGGCGAGGTTGTAGTCTGTACTTGCAATTTCCTTCTCAAGGATGGCACGCTGACAGTGATGAGCCACGACCTCAACGGATTCCGGATGGTTTTATAGAGATTGAGGCATTGTAAGTTCTTTTCCTTGTGGCTTTCGTGTGTGTTCTTTCTGCTATTTTATTTTGAATTGTGAACCGGTGGTTGGCAATTGAAGAATGAGCACTCATTTAAATTAATTCCCCTGCGACTACCCCATTTTATACACTGAGATGAATGCTTCATGTACAACGAATCATGACTATCAAAAACAAGAGGAGGCAGAAAGAAATGTACAGATATGACTACCCCAGAAGTCAAAATGAAAGAAAGGGGACAAAATATGTTCCAAGATGAAGTAGAGGTTGGAGAAAACGAAGAGAAAGTTGCCAAAAAGGGGTGGTGCAAAGAGAAGTCTCCCATGAATAGGCGCCGCTTGCTTCCATTGTTCATACACCATGTTAAAATGTCATTTCGTCGTGTCGACATCTGTCGATGTTATCTGTTGGTCTGGGTATATTGGTTTGCGATGGGGCTGTGAAAACAAAAGCCCAGGTTCTGCGAATAAAATTGAAAACTGGGAGGGCGCGCAGGGAGGAATGAGGAAGGAGAAGGAGGAGAGCTAACAAGGGCAAAATGCAGATATTATCTGAGACGATATCGCGCCCTCAAGAATCGATACGATACACCCAAAATACCTATCGAACAATGAGCCGGTGGTGGGGAGATTGGGGGGAGAACGGGCAAAACGAAGATGCTGGCCAAGGGTTTCAGGACGACTCAAAGTGAGAAAAGGTCATCTGTCGTTTCTCGAGGATATATAGTATCTCGCCGTCTAGATACAATCAATTGGGAAATTTGAGAAGCGTAGTTATCGTTTTTGCCCCCACCATGCTCCGACTTCGAGACATTCGCCACTGGCCACACCACCTTTCTGCAGTAGGTCCGTTGTCATTCCAGTCCACCATCGATCCCATTCGTCTCTGCCTTTGCCACTAGCTTCCATGAGCATGGGCTCCATACTCTCGATCATCTGAACAATTGTATAAAGCGCGGTCTGGCGCAGTGCGAGCTGATCTGCCGACAGTGCCTTGGGCTGTTTCCAGCCATTGGATGCGCCATCCTGCGGCTCTCGCTCCCATCTAACTTCCCCCAAAGGAATTGCTATCCTACGACTGTCCACGCTGTTGAAGGATTCCGACTCGGAAGTGAAGGAAAGGCCAATCATGGCGCATGGCATGGGCGTTAATTTGCGGCGTTCAAAAGCCTTTTGGGCCCAGGAGTTGTAATCGCGTAAATATTTGTTCTGAGCATCTGCAAATGGGGTAGCCGGGAATATGGTGTATGTGCCGGTGGTCTCAGCCTGTTCCGCATTTTCCCCCGATAGCCCGGGCGCAAGTGGCGGGTTTGGCAAAAGCGTTCTAAATATAAGATCTGAATCCCACACTTCAAGAACTCCGCCAGACTTCAGAACCCGAAGTGGTTCACTTAACGGAAGCGTTTGCAACTCTGATCCTGACGGACAAATCCCAGCATCTTTTATGAACACAAAATCAAAGTAGCCATCGGGGAACGGTAATTTAGGCTTGTGTAGGTCGTGCCGTTTGAACTGCCAATTAATGCCTTGTTTCTGAAGGTCTGGCGCGAGGTTTACAATATCGAGACCAGTGAAGGAAATATTTTTGTGTCCTTTCCGAGCAAAGTAGTCATGGCAAGCGTTTGACCATAACGCGGAACCGCAAGCCAGCTCCAACACCCTTTTCGGGGGCTGATCGGTAAAATGGGGTGTGCAAAAGGGTGCGCCGAAAACATGCATCAAAATCAGCGAGCGCAGTGACTGGCGATGTATCTCTGCGAGGTCGCAGGGAAGTGGGTACGGGTTATCCGGGTCACGTAGATACGTGCGGCCATTGCGCTTGGCGAGCGGGTAGGTTGTGTAGTCAATGGAAGAGGAGGCGGAAGAGGAAGAAGTCGCGGGCATTGCGGATCCTTGAGAGACAGAATTGCTAGCGGACCGCTGGTAGGCATTGTGTTTGGGATCGTAAGCCAAAGGCGAGGTGGGAATGAAGAGGTAGGATAAGTTAGCAGACCCGGCCATGGTGCTGAAATTTTCCGGTCTCACGCGGTGTAATTTTTCATGTGTATGTGCCCCGTATTGAGACATATTACGGAGGGAAGCAACGGAGCAACGAAAGCAACGAAGCAGCAAGCAATGAAGCAGCACACTCGAAAAGCCTGACTCGGGTAATGGGGATACGGAGTGGAGTTATTTGCCTAATGACATTTAAGATTTCACCCCTGGCTATCTAGGCTGGTCGAATCGCTGCTGGGGCTTGAAGGCGGGTGGGAGAGGTTGTTCATTATGTGCTCTCAATTCCGCAGCGACGTTAGAGGGGTAGAGCGTGCGTACAAGAGAGGGAGGGAGGATGGAAATAACGACTTCCGCAGGAGAAGAAGAGGACGAAGAAGAGGTGGAGAGAGAGTTGGGAGTTCTTAAGGAGGGACAAGGTTTTCGTTTTAAACACGATGCTAATCGGACTATTTGAGCCTCAGAGTTGATCGAGATACCACAGTCGAAGCCACCACTGGCCCAATCGCGGGGACGGTTCCAGGGCTTCGGGGGATAAATAGTTGAATGAATGTTACCCACCCTGGTAACATGGAGGTGAGATCGATAAGCACGCCAGCCATTACGTCCAATCCAATCAACTAACTAATGGGAGGCCAAGGCAAACCGTCGCAGCCACTGCTTGCTATTTCACCTTTCGAAAATTTCCCACGCCGGCTCTTGGTCTCTGTGCCTGGTTGGGTGTTACGCTCGTCACATATTATTCGCAATAATGAGAGAATACCCACGTTTTCATTAGAAATAACAATACGGAGTAAGAGAGAATTTAAGGGATTAAGACATGCGCGCCATTCTCCCCTCCACCAGTCCGGCTACAACGTAGAAGAGACTATATTCGAATTCGAACTTGCACCCATTCACGAGGGACGGGACGCACTGTCAGAGGCGCCCAAACGCTCGCTACAGATCCCGAGTCCCGAATCCATCGAATCTCCAAAGAGCAGATCTGGAAACACCCCATACCGAATCATATCAGCGGTGTGATCCATGGCGGCCTCGATAGGCGCGAGGCGACGACTCCAATGAGCCATGCATCATCAACTTTCCTTTTTCTGCCCGTGCCTCCTCTGGGTGCGCTTGTCCAACAGCTGCACCCTCTCACACGCCTTTCATTCGTTGATTTCTTTTGTATCCCTGGGCCGGGTCTCAAACCTCCAGATATTGCCTAGGATGCTTCAAGGACGGTTTTCCCGCCCCACTTTACGGAGGACACCCTTAACCTAGGAAGGTGTTTGACCTTACGCTCACTCCTTCTCAGACCTGGACCCAAACGTATCAGATATCGGGCTCATCCGTGGATAGTTATTATCTATATCAAAATTGTATATCGGTTACAAGATAACCGTGCCAAGCGCACTCACTCTCTCTAGTGGCTGATCGAGAAATCACTTCGATAGAAATGATGTTTTACCGTTCTTCTACAGACTGACTCGCTTAAGGCGAAATTCGACAGGCATCTTTACGTGTGTATCTGGAGAAATGCGCTTTTGTCCATCCACAGCCCCCACACTGGTGCTTGATACCCCCATACTATATTCTCTCCTAGTTGCGTACCGTATCATGCATACCCCCATGTCCCTTGCGGAGATCCCGCCCTGACAACTCAGTCAAGCAAATTTCGTTCCGCCAGCCTGATGCCACTTTTCAGACCCAGATTTCTGCACCCACTTTCAACGCACATTTCCACCTTATGTTCTGGGTCGGCTCTTGGGGATTTGTTAATTTAGAGCCCTATTTAAGATATCTTATAAGCTTTCCTCCCAGCTACTCTTCCACACATGGAAGCCAGTCCGCCCGTTACTAGTCGAGGAAAACGGCTGAAGGCTAGAGCCAAAGAATGGATTCGTGGGAAAAAAAGCCAAAGAGAGGAAGAAGCGAGTCAATAGTCACTTAGGCACTGGTGTCCACCCTGTGAGGAAATCTGCCGCTGAGGACGGAGGGAGGTGGTCATAGTAAACTCGTTGGACTCTTCGAGCGATGGCCATTCTTCCTCTCCATCTCCCAAGGGCGATGATAGTAAGATTGCATCAACCGGATCTGTTCAGACACTCCCTGAACAATCGAACACGCTACTTGCTACCTTGAGTCACCAGGTGCCCTGGCCGGAAAATCTCTGGGATAAAGCTTATGCCAATCTTCTCGATCAGAAAAATGATTTGGTAGTTGATTACCATAATTACTTGTTAAAGAAGGAAGACCAATCACAAGGTATGTAACCATCAAATATCGAGGATTTCGTGCTGATATACTTGATAGTGGATGACCTTTGTGATGCGGCCGGGTAGGAACAGTTCTAGAAGCTACTTCGACACAAGCTCAATCGCATGAAAGAAACAAGATTGACCATTCCTGTGTACGCAAAAAAGATCAATGGTGAGATAGTTGTCGAAAGAGTTGTCGTGACGGATCAAGTTTGCAACATTATGCGCGGCCTTCAATCGGTCAGTAGTTTAGTCAATGTGGCAGTGAGTTCAATGCCTCCTGCTGCTTTTGCCTGGGCGGGCGTCTTCGTTATCCTTCCTGTGAGTGCTCGCCGTAGCAGCTTCCCGCCGTTCAGTGCTGACAAGGAGGGATTGAGGTCATCATGAACGCAATCACGCAAGATGGTGAGGCTATGGATGGGTTAGAGTTTATTTCAGAGCTTCTTGTCCGCTGCAAGGTCCGAGAGGATGTCATACGTAGAAGGTTTCGCGAACCTGTGCAGGGCCTTCAATCTCAAAGGTATGGGCACCCTCTTCCTTTCTTGTCTGGAGTGTTCTAGGCAGCCTCTGGAAAATGAGATGTGCTGATATGGGTGTAGCGAATCGAAAAACCTTGGAGAACTTCATAGCGCTATAAAAGCTAGGACTGTCCAGTTGTATTCTGATATCTTGCAATATCAGATCCAGCTAGCCATACATTATGACCGTGGGTGTTTTCTCCGTTCTTTAGGCGATATTGCTATTTCCAACGATTGGAAAAGCATGACTACAGATCTGGAAAATGCGTCGGATAACATCCACCAAGATTTGAGCGAAGATATCGCAATTCTATCGCAAACGGATTTGACAAACTCGAAGAGTCGGCGGAACAGTCCTTGTCTTCGCTAAAGGAAATTGAACAGGATATCGAGGTAAGCGACTCCCTTAGTTATTTGACGGTCTAGATACTCGTTGCTCTTTTACACTTAGGGAATAAGTCAAGACTCATTACTGAAAGAGTTGCCCCGAGCAATTTTCGCAGCCTTTGATTCTTCTAAGGCACAAGGAGAAACCACAAGCCTGCATCGAACATGCCTTCAAGGCACTCGGATTGATACCCCCAATTTAGTACAGCGGTGGAGCAACGCTCTACATGACTATAAGTGTATATTCTGGTTGAAAGGGATGCCCGGTACCGGGAAGTTGATGATTGCTCGCACAGTCGCCGGCAAATTGGCTTCAGAGGGCCGACTTGGCGGTAGCTTCTTTTTCTCAAAATGACGAGCTAATTTGACAAATGCGGCTCAGCTCTTCACCACGCTTTCATCCCAGCTGACGGAAGTATTACCCGGCCTCCGGCCGCATGTCTGTGCTGTAATCGTGAAGAGGAGAGATATTGCCGGGAAATCCCTATCTGAGCAATGCGAACATCTTATTTTCCAACCACTCGTGAGTCTTGACGACACTTAACGTGAGGGTCTGTATCCGCCTTTCGTGCTAGTGTTTGTCATTGATGCACTTGACGAGTGCGAAGACGATGACGACCTAAGGGAGGTACTTCCACTTTTTAGCCAGTTGAGGGATCTCAGGACCATAAAACTACGGGTTTTTATGACCAGTAGACCAGAAAAGCTACTCAGGTCCAGATTCAGCCGGATGCCTGATGCGTATCATCGCGATGAAGATCTGCACAAATTCAAGCCCTCAGACATCCAAGAAGATAAGGATGATATCACCAAGCTTTTTGAGCACGAGCTTGCTCTTATGAGGGAGGAAATACTACTTCAAGACAACTGGCCGGGGAAGGAGCGTGTCAAGAAACTCGTCTTAAAACCGATGGACTATTCATCTACGCTGCCACAGCTTGCCGATTTCTCGCAGCGGCAGCTTCAGAAAGATTGGCAGACCTACGACTAGATACGATTCTTATCGATGATGTCGATAAAACCTCTCCGCAACGGAATATTGATAGTATATACACTCAGATCCTAAAATTTTCTGTCTCCAATAAAATTGAAAAAGAGAAAGCAGAAATATGCGGTCTGTTCCGACGAGTTCTCGGACCGGTCATATTGTTGTTTAGTCTTCTTTCTATTGATGCTCTAAGTGTACTTTTGTCGGTGCCGAAGGAGGAAATTAATGATGTGCTGAGAGATCTTCATTCGCTTTTGTTGGTCCCCAACTCTGAAGAGGAGCCTATTCAAACGCTGCATCTTTCATTTCCTGAATTCTTGTCTGACCCTGAAAGATGTCCGACGGAATTCTTGATTGATCGCAACATAACCCACGCCAAGCTCACAGAGAGGTGCTGCCTAGAGTTGATGTCGAATATCTTGACAAAAGATATTCGTGATTTAAAATTACCGGGAACTCTTGCAAGGGAGGTCGAACAATCGACAGTAGCAAAGCACATCCCCAACCACGTTCAATATGCGTGCTGTTATTGGATCAATCATTTACTGGCGACCGACGTTACTGCCTTCATGGACGAAACGATATACACGTTTCTGAGGGCACGTCCTCCACTGGCTTGAGGCTCTTAGCCTTCTTGGCAAAATAGGCGAGGGTGTTAATATGATTGCAGAGTTTTCCAACAGACTGTCCTCGATTCAGGTGAGAAGCCATTGATTCGGCTTTTGAATGTCAATCTATGCTAAGTGTATAATATATTACTTTTCTTTGTAGCACAAGCCCGAACCCTTGTATAGATCGTTCACGATGCGAAACGGTTTACGCTTTACTTTATGCCTATGCTCGAGCAGGCGCCGCTCCAAGTGATATCTCTGGACTTCTCCTCAGCCCAAAAATAGCATCATTAGGGATATTCATATTAATTGTATCCCAGCCTGGATCAAGTCAAGGTGCGCCCCTGCGGCTGATTGGAGCGCTTTATTTTATTCCATTGCGTCGTCATATGGCGAGGGGCAGCTAGCTGTGTTTTCTAGGGATGGCCGATATTTGGTTTCTACCGATATGGGCGGGAATTTAAATTTATACCACTTTAAAACGGGGGTTCTACGAGAAATCCTCGAAACCCCGTACGCATCCCTACAATGACTGGCATGTCTCAATCTTGCCGGATGGCCAATTCGTCTTTTGTTATTCACGTCAACCCAGGTCTCAATCGGGATGATACTCAATCTGGAACATTGACACACGTGATAGATACCGTATCCATCTCGAAGAAGGTTTACGAGTTGTAGCATCGGAGTTTTCACTGAATAGCGAATTGCTTGCAACTGCTTTGGACGATAAGACTATTCGACTGTGGGATCCAAAGACCGGGGCTTTTCAGGCGACTTTGGCAGGATGTTTGGAGAATCCAAGACTAATATCTATTTCCCTAAACGGCAAACATCTAGCATCTTCAAGTAGGGACAAAATTCAGATTTGGGACCTTTGCACTGGAAATCTTAGTCGGACTTTCAACGGCCACTCGGATCGTAATATTGTTATACAATTTTCTCCAGTTGACCAACTTCTTGCGTTAGGGTCGATAGATACGACCATACTGCTCTGGGATCCAGAAACAGACAAATCGTTTGCACTTGAGGGCCACGAACAGGGGTTTCGGCGATAAACTTTGCTCCTAATGGGCAACTGCTCGCACCTGGTCTCGATAAAGGCTTGATTAGACTCTGGGACGTGTCAACAAGAATATGCCTTGCAAACCTTGGGTAGCACGATGAGGGCGATATTGTTGACATACAGTTTTCGCCCGACGGCCAATTTTCCGCATCTGCTTCAGATGATGGGACAATTAAAGTTTGGGATTTGGCCAGCAAGGCACTACGCAATTCCTCCGGGCTCATGTAGAAAATTTATCTTGTCCGATTCTCACGAGATAGTAAGTACCTTGCTTCAGTATCAAGTCTTCACACTACATTATGGGACCTAGAAATAAAATTGGCGGGAAATAGCCAGGATGCCTCTCTACCAATGCCGGAGCTGAATTTCTCACCCGATGGCAAGTTTCTTGCACACACTTCGTCCACGATAAAATACGATCATCCATACGATGTGGTCTTTCTTCTGATATGGGAAACAAAGACAGGTGCATTGCATATGCGCGAAGCTTACAGGTTTTCTCGTCGTGACCTTATTAGCATGTTATTTTCATCTGATAGCTGAACGTTGGCCATTCTTATTGGGAGATCGATCAAGCTCTGGGATGTGAACGCAAATTCCCGTGAGTGGTTTCGGTGATATTTTCGAGATTCCTTCATTTGTAATTTCTTCAACGGGCCGGTTCGTTGCTCTTTTGACAACAAATGACGACGCGTGTCCAAGTGGTCGTACCCTGTTTGTCAGTCTTTGGGAGCCTGGCAGGGAGTACACGAAGATTTCCTTGGGTGAGATTTTGGGCGAAAGGTACTGTATGTACTCTGGCGTTTTCCGCTGATGAAAAAGTACTTGCGGCCATCGAACCAAAGGAAGCCCGGTTGTGGAATCCTGACTCTAATCAATTGATGAAGAAAATCCACAATCTCCCGCATGATCCATACTCCAAGTTGCGCATTGGTTGCGTAACCTACGATGAAGATGGAAAGGTCATTACTTGTGTATTTCCAGGAGATGGACGCCACTCCAAATCTGATATAAATATCTCGTCCCTTTTTAGACTGGGTAACCTGGAAGGATAATAAACGGTTCTAGCTTCCTCTCAATGGGAAAGTTGCTACGGAATACCTAGATAACATCTGGTACTCTACTAAATTGCTAGAGATTCTACGCGAGACGGATGTGTCTTGTCTTGAGAGAAGCTACTACAAATTAATTATTATTGTTGTTGTTGTTGTTATTTTAGTATTATTTTTTATTTGTTTCTTTCTTTCCTCTTTCCTTTCATTATTCCTTTGTTTCAGCTCCGAAATCTCCGAGAATTAGGGGAAGTACACCAGATATGATGATCTCCCAAGAACTACTCTATCTATCCCTCATTTCCATTTTCAATCGCCCTCGATTCCTCGTCCTGGCGCCCACCCGGCATTTGCCCCCTACACGCAAGGATGACAGGAGAATATCACTTCTTGAATGGCGTTCAAGTGGCCTCTTCAAAGGGAATTGAGTGTTTTAATTGTGAAGGACTTAATAGCCCTTGATCTCATCATTCATACCCTGTAACCCCACATTATAGATTGACCACACACCAGATGACCTACGGTTTGATATCTGCGGAATATGATTTCAAGCACCTACAAGAGTTAGGTGGAATTCAGATTCAGGGAATGATGACCATTGTGGGGGAGAGGGAAGGACAACATACATAGCATTAGCCAACGGAGGAACTTGCACTCATTTTTCACTCATCTTTTCACAACGTGATGGCCGTATTTTTTCCCTCTCCTGTTGATGACGGTGAAGGCAACTAACCCCCTTACTATAAGAGTCCTCGCAAGCCATAGCACGCAGAGCAAATATCCATGACAACTTGGGTAGGGGAGTTAGCCGATGGGCAATTTAACACTGCTAACTTGCCTTCCGCAGATCCTCTCCAAGTAAGCCCATGTGCCAGGCAAGATAATGGTTTCTACGAGAAATTATAGAACCTGCAAGTCCATGAAATGTGCTTTGAGCTCATATGATTTACTATGGTAGTTATTGACTTCCTTGCTTCCTTTTCCTAGGCACGACTATTTAACGACTTGGGTATTTTCAGTAACAATGCCTTATTCATCTTTCCATCCACTTCCCCTCGTGTAATAACCAGTTGCGTCTTCCAGCCAACTGCATTAGGTCCCTCTCATCCTCTATCTCATCATGGATCCTAAACCACCACCTTTCTGCTACAAGACACCCACAATTGATGTATCCTATATCTGTTTTGTCTGTCCTTTTATAACTTTCCTCGCGCCCCGTAACCGCATTAGGTAGCGCAGATGCCCATTTCCCATTCTCAACATTCAATCAGTAACCGGGCCATCTTAGAACATCCTGAGCGTACCCAGTTATCAAACCCTTGATGTAGAGATGTTTGTTTGCCTCGAGCTGTTCTTGAATATAGACCAGATCCATGATCAACCTCAAATGTATGTCGCCTCCAGACAACAGCTTTAGCGTGCTTGGGCAAGCACTATTAGTCCATTGTTGTTCTGTCCATCCCCAACGTTCGTCCAAGGTCGAAAGTGAACCGGATAATACTTGAATAGAAAGGCTTTGATCGTCGCAAGTCAACGAATCTAGTGATTATATAAAACTAATGAGTAATAAGAAGGTGTCCAAGCAGAAAGATTTAATCTGTGAGAACCGCCGAAGGATTTTGTGCAAATGTCTTAAGGCCAGCCAGTTGTGTAGAAGCACTGTGCTTGCGCCTGGAAGGTGTTGCGCTTCGTTTGGCGTAGTTGAAACAGAGAGGTGTGCCTCCGGCTGGGCGCAATAGTGAATATTTTGTAGGTATATGAACAGGTAGGATATAAAAAGTTCACGATACCATCCCGCCGCCTGTTTCCTGTTGAAGTATCAACTTCAATTAGAGATTGTATGAGCGAGAGGGGGAGGATTAGATGCGCAAGTTGAAGCCATTTTAACGATTGAAAGGCGGGGGCTATAGCCAACTATCCAAGATGTTATGAATTGCTAATTCGAGGGCTATATATACTAGCAGATCTATGAACGCGACGCGGACAATGAAGGTTTATGGCAAACGCTTATTCCGCTACCCCTTCCAATTTCTTATGTAAAATGGCGGAGGAGGAGTTTGGAAGCTGTTGCAATTGTGAAGCCAAGTTTCGGCCATGATTTAGTGAGGCTATGCTCATGCTCACGTCCTGGAAGTTCGCGGGTGCGAGGGGTAAGCAGAAATCGCAGAATATGTTCGCCTAAGAGTTTTGCGAAAACCAGCGCTGGATAGGGCTGGAGTTGCGCTGGCCAATGATTGGGACTACACGTGACTTGATATGATTGGTGCGAGTCATGTGACCACAATGTCTTCTCCCGCCTCTACAAACCGCTTCGCATGGGTCCAGCAGCACATATCGAAGCGCAATCACATCCAGCCTCTACATCCGACAAAGGAACCCCGCTATTCTTAGCGCTAGAACTCTTGCTGTATTCCCTGACTGCGATCAGGGATTGATATTCCGCTTTGCCGCGAAGCCTGTGCCCCGTTTGAAACCGCGTTGGCTCATCGCCTTGCTTAACAGCTTCCCACCGGCACGGTTCTCTATTATCCACAGGTCGCCGTGGGATATACGCTCCTCGACGCGAAGATTGTCACAGCTGACTGCAGTACTGTCGAGGTGCTTGGAGTCGAGTTCATATTTGAGCTGTCGACGTTTCCTGGTGGTTCCGCTTCGGGCCCCATGTTGAAGAGACGGAGAGAACGAGTCCGCCCTCTCACTCCCTTGAACCCGCTGCCTGTCCTCTCGCTTCTTCAGTCTCCGCGAGATAACCCCCCTCCCCTCGAATTACACCTACGGTCTCGTCTGCCACGTTAAATGGCAGATGGTACCTACCGGTTCCAGCAGCCTGTGGCAGGGCAGTTCTACTTCCAGCAACAAACACAGCAGCACAACCATACCAACGCACACCAAAGACACCTCGTCCGAAACGGAACCGGATCTCCAACTGGGAGACTAAAATTCAATACCGACACACCTTCCCCGTCTCGCTCCCCTCCGCTCAACCAGTCACCCAGTCATAACCCTTACAATATGTATTCACAAGGGCAGCATGTGATGATGAATGGCGGGCAAACTCACCAGAGATTTGGAATGCCAATGCAGAAATTCCAACACCCAAGCCATCACCCGCATCATGCCCAACAGCACCCCCACCACCAGCATCCTCACTCTCAGACTACTCACTCTGCTATCGGCCATCAGCATAACTTCTCATCCGGAACCCTGTCAAGCACGGCCCCCCACTTTACTCCGACCCACATTCCAAACGGTACTACAACCAACGTGGATGAAGAAGTAGAAGAACCCATGAATGAACACTGGCAGCAGCAGCTACAACTTGCCGCAGAGTCGAGACAAGCAAACTCCCCTCACTATTACGCACGGGCCGTTGCTCAACAGACGAAGGGCATACAGCTCACAACAAACCAAGCCGAGACTAATGAAAACGACGCCGAAGAACGCAATCGTGCCAAAACAAGCAAAGGCACCCCTGGAAGACAAGATTGGATGGCTCTTGATTTTGGTGGACAAGGTCTCCGAGCAATCTCTCCTGCACTTTTCAACTACACTTTCCTGGAAAAACTTTATCTCAATCACAATAAATTGAAGACCCTTCCGCCAACCATCGGCCAGCTGAAAAGCCTCACTCACCTGGACGTATCCGGAAATGAGCTAACGGAACTCCCTGAAGAAATTGGCATGCTCATTAACCTCAAGAAGCTGTTGCTATTCGACAATAATCTCCATTCGCTTCCATACGAAATGGGCTATCTATATCAGCTTGATACCCTAGGTATAGAAGGAAACCCCTTGAACGATGTGTTTAAATCACGTATTATGCAGGAAGGCACAAAGGCGCTCATTACGTACCTTAAAGAGGAGATGCCGGGTATGTCACATGCTTTGTTTGATTTAGACGATAGTCATCACTAATGTTATGTAGTTCATTTGCCTCCTTCAGAACGGGATTGGGTTGTCCTGGATGATTCGAGCAGAAACCCTTCTAAGCGTCAAATCGACAAGTTTACTGCCCTTTCTTACAATACACTCTGTGATAGATCAGCAACCCATCAACAACATGGCTACGCGCCCTCTCGAGCGCTGGCTTGGGAATATCGCAGGGACCTCATTCTAAACGAAATAAAAGGGTACAATGCCGATATTGTGTGTTTGCAGGAAATCGACCAGGGCAGCTACCATGGCTTCTTCAGAGAACAACTTGCGTACAACGACTACAAGGGAGTTTACTGGCCAAAAGGAAGGGCGCAAGGCATGCCCGAAGAGGAAGCCAAGGTCGTCGACGGCTGCGCAACGTTCTTCAAAGGCAGCAAATACATTCTTCTCGAGAAGAATATGATCCATTTCGGCCAAACTGCAGTCCGCAGGCCTGACGCCAAAGGCCAGGATGACATCTATAACCGATTATGGCAGAAGGACAATATTGCTGTGGTCACATACTTGGAGAATCGATTGTCCGGAGAGCGGTTGATAGTTGTGAACGTTCACCTCTACTGGGACCCAGCATACAAGGACGTGAAGCTTATCCAGGCAGCAATTTTGATGGAAGAGGTAACACAGCTTGCTGAAAAGTATTCCAAGATCCCCGCTTGCACAGATAAAACTGCATTCCGATTCTCCGAGCCGGAAAATTCGGCCGATGGTGATGGCACTGCTACGCCCGTAGAACCAGCGCCTTCAGTCGAATATAGCAGCGGCTCTCAGATCCCCCTTATCATATGCGGCGACTTTAATTCCTACCCTGGATCTGCCGTGTACGAGCTAATGAGCCGCGGCCATTTGATCGAAGACCATCCGGATCTTGAGAAGCGTCTCTATGGTAACCTCAGTCGCCGCGGCATGTCCTACCCATTCAACTTGAAATCCGCTTATGGCGCTATTGGAGAACTTGACTTCACCAATTATACCCCCGACTTCGCTGATGTGATCGACTATATCTGGTATACTTCGAATGCTCTCCAGGTAACTGGATTGCTTGGCGCTGTGGATAAGTCGTATCTGCAACGAGTTCCTGGATTCCCTAACTACCATTTCCCTAGTGATCATCTTGCCCTAATGGCCGAGTTTTCTTTCAAAAGTAAAAAGGGGAAGGTTGTTGAAGTAGATTTCGGGCCGCAGCGGGATAGGGATAGGGATCGGGATCGGGATAAGAATCGGGATCGGGACAGAGATCGGGATAGGGCGACTTGACGGGTCCAAGGTTTTATTTTCACATTTTATGAGACTCAAGGGCTTATGCAGAGTAGTTTTCTTTTTGTGTTGCATATGTTATTTCGGACGGAATCTTCGCGCGTCTTTTTTTAAAGTCTTGTGATTTTTCTTCTGGTTTCTTTTTTTTTTTTTTTCTTTTTTTTCAATCTCTTTACGTCCCCTTTTCTTCCCCTCTCCTTTGATTGTCGCGGTGTCTTTTATTCTGCGGGTTGTACTCAATTGTTTTTGTATGTGCTATTTATCCTGTATTCCGTTCTCTCCTCGGGGTCTGTTTTCTTGGACACTTCTCGATGGCGTGGCGACATTTGTCCTTTGTTGCACCTCCGTATGCATCGCCTTATTCCACTCTTATATGATCGTGTTGTTACAGCAGTCGGATTGAGCTGGTGTTTTGGGTGTGAAAGTCCGAGAGGGCGGTTGAACTGGAAGAGTTGTGATGGGCTTGTTATAGTTTTGGCCTTTTTTTTTTCCTTTCTCGCTAACATAGGTTCTTATTTATTTGCTCGCTGTTCTTCCCTTTCTCCCGTTGCTTTCTGCGGTCGGTCTCGTATCTTTCTCCCTCTCTCTTTGGCTCTCTATATGGCGAACAGGTTCGCTTCGCAGTTGTATTCTTTTTGTTCTCCTGCTTTTCCCTTCCCTGTTTTGTTTGCTCTCTTCTTCACTGGACTTTGTGAACCTTTTCCTTGAGAGGCGCTAGTTATTCTCATCGTAAATTACAGGATTGCCTTTCTTTTCCTCAGTACAGTCAGACGGTATTTCCCTTATCCCATCATGAATTGGAACAAACTGTTGGGCCTGCCGTCAATTGTTTCGCCCGAATCCCACCTATAAGCCACTACGACGCCCCCTAATAATCATCGGCATCGTCAGCCAACATACTGACAGCCACAACAAACAACATCCCGCGCTCCAATTCCTCCACCCTTCCCAGCCAGTCCGACCTACTTAGCTTCCCGCATTCCACGTCAAGCCGAAACCCTCTTTTTCCCCCCCTCATCTTTTCATACATACCTTTACCGCAGACGCCAATAGGATTCCTTGATGCCACGCGTTAAAAAGGCTTTGGGCGAACACCCAATTTCCAGCGATGTCATTTTACCGATGCAAGACCCCTACATGACCCAGATTTCCCGATGGGAGGAAGAATTATGAGTTCAGGAAATATTGCCTTAAAACCTTGTGTGAAAAGAATCCGGTTCTATCGGACAGCTCTGCACTCCAGCATCACCCACGTCTGCGAGACTCTGCCTGCACGGACACGAAATCCAGGAGATCTCCCGCTAGACGAGAATGGCCTGGGAAATGTCGAATTTAACAATAGGCACAAGGACTGGGAGGGCTACGAGTTCGCCTACGAGATGGTCACTGTCTACGAGATCAAACAGCCGATATCCCTCAAGGAGATGAAGGATAAGCATAGTTTCAAGCCGGCGCCGAGGGGACTTGTCACAGGTCCTCATATTCTAGGTGGTGTACTACGTAGCTTGAAGGGAATACCTTCAATCATACCCTGCTACCCTTGCTGGAAGGATTAATTTCCCCCTTCCCATACAATTGATGGTTTATTGTTCAGCAGCAAGCCCCTTTGTATCACTATTAATTTTTCCACCTAAATATCATCAGTAAATATCATCAGCCTACCTGAGCCATGCCATCTAACAATAGAACGTATCCAGCACCTTTAATTATCCCACCTTTATCTCCCACGGAACATACTCACACTTTCATCCTCCTCCATGGTCGAAGTAGCAACGCTGAACGCTTCGGCTTGGAGCTATTGAAAACCGCGAAGTTAAATACCTACTCGACTACCAACCGTAAAATTCGAAGTGACGATCAACAGTCGTGAGGAACATTCCAATCAACCAGTGGTTCGATAACTATTCTCTTGAAGATCCGGGCCCGAGATCGGAGCTCCAGATCGACGGGCTTTGCCAAACTGGAGCATTTTTACGTGAACTGATTTAAACAGAGGCAAAGGAGTTTGCAGGCCAAGGGACGATGGATATCGAAGGATAATCCTTGGTGGCCTGAGTCAAGGCTGTGCAGCGGAGATTTTCACGTTCCTTTCTGGGCCATTTGGGGAATATGATGGTAGCGCGGCAGAGCTCTCTGAGAGGAACCTATTATTTAAATAGTAGGAGCATTTGTGGGAATGAGCGGCTGGCTACCGGTTTCGTTCAGGAGATGTTTCAGATCAGGATCCATTCGCTCAATCGCCCCGGAAGACCGACAAGGGATCCGACAATGAAGACAACGATTCTACAGAGCTACAAGCAATCAAACCACATCCGCGACATCCTTGACCTCCCTGCGCTTCCGGCCCTTGGAGTACAGCATCGTCAGTCCAGTCCTGTATTCCTTGGCCATTGGTTCGAGGATGAGAAGGTCTCAGTGACACTGGGCCGGTCTATGGTTGACTTTTTGCGCAACAGGCTTGGTGTGGACGTCACTTGGATGGTTGAATGAAGGGTTTGGACATTGGTACAAGGATCCCGATGAGATTGATGACATTGTTAAATAAGTTTTTTGAAAGAGAAAGTTGGCATGCCTGTTCCTGAAGAGCCGAGCGCAGAACTCAACTCCTAATTCACTTCAAATCATATAAGCTATTTAAACAAATGATTCAATCTGTTAAGGTTGGAATCAATACCTACATGTACTGTACATGTACAACATTATCGGCCCTCTGTCGGGCCTTAATGCTGTATGAACAACATAACTGTCAGTTACCGCTGGGAATATGATTGAAAATGAACGCGCGGGCTTGCATCATTTTCCGTTCTCAAGGCCTTCGTTGCCACAGGATGGTATTCTCGATATTCCATCTCCTTCCTGATATACAATACATACTCTCAATTTTCTCTGGCTTGACCTCCCCGTCATTTAAACCCTCTCCTCGTTGTTAACGCATCGCGAGCCGAATCGGCTGTTCGCTTCCCCCGATGTCCGACCAAGAAGAGTAAAGGCCGTCTCTTACTAGGGGCGAACAGCGGGACAACCGGGATTTTGGCTCTCGAAGTCTATCCGCCCCCCAAGTAAAAAAGTGCCTAGGCAAGAATGTTGGACCCCAACCTAGATAAAATCTTTTTGTTCTTTTTTTTGCCCCTTAACGAACTTGCGATCGGAGACTGTGTTTGCTCCCTGCCCTATCAGATTTATTATACCAGTATGGACTGGTAGTAGAGATATTCAAAAATCTCAGCTCGCTATACATACCGTACCTACCGTGTCTTCGGTAGCCAAAAAGTGTTATCGCCCCCCTACTAGTTTAAGCGACGTTGGTGAACGTTGCTCTAGTAATCACCGTGGTATGTATTAAAAGATCTTTGGTCCTTCTGGCAAACATGAGATCTCATCCTCCTTGCTTGTTATGCCGGTATCACCGAGTCTAAAGTGTGCAAGGGAACGGATGTTGACCGATCAGGCTCGGCATCCCGATGCCGAGAATGCAACAACCCAGCGCCAACGATCTACATGACATTACTAGTATGGGTAGTGTCCCGAGCCCGGCATCGGCCAGGGACCCTACGGAAACTTCTCAAAATATAGAAGCTTCAGCTGGTTCCTCATCAGATCCCCCTACCAGCGGGGAGAGATCCGGGGGAAATGGCGAGAAGGAGGCCAAAATGAGCAAGAGCAGAATTGCTGTGATTATGACAGCCCTCTGTGTATATCTGCCATGCTTCACGGAGTAACATTGTGAGGAACGCTTCGCTAATTGCGACCGGTATCACAGTTGGCTGTGTTTCTTGCTGCGCTTGATATGGTAAGTATCTTTTTCCAGATGAATGCTGCCGAGAAAATTATTTTCTAACTAATTTCTTTTAGACGATCATTACCACAGCACTACCGACAATTTCAGAGCAATTTAAAGTGTCTCAGGGAGATTATACCTGGATAGGATCAGCCTACACGCTTGGTGCTGCCGGTAAGCTTCCCGATGCCTACGTCTGTAGCTACTGTTTGCAAAACGCCCCGAGGCTATCTAACGTACTAATCATTTACAGCCTCAATGCCGTCATGGGGCAAAATAAGTGATATATTTGGACGAAAGCCAATCTTACTGCTGGCGAATGTTGTTTTCTTCGTTGGGTCGTTGATATGCAGACTAAGCATCAACATCAAGATGCTGCTTGCGGGACGAGCGGTCCAAGGTATCGGAGGGGGCGGGTTGCTTTCCCTGGTGAATATTAGCATTGGCGATTTGTTTAGTATGAGGTACGTGCATATTAACTCTCCTACCATTTTAAAGAGGTTAAGAGTTCAAAACTGATAAATTTATTTCAGAACGAGGAGTGTCTACTACGCCATGGTTGGTATGGTATGGGCTATTGCCGGCACACTCGGCCCTGTGATTGGCGGTGCCTTTACACAGTATGTCTCGTGGCGTTGGTGCTTCTATGTAAACTGTAAAGTTCCCCCGAGCCTTCTTAGTTGCTGCTTTTCATGCAGCTGCTAATGATGTGGATCAGTGCCTATTGACGGAGTTGCTTTCGTCATTATCCTATTCTTTCTCAAAATCCAAACGCCCAAAACCCCATTCCTCGCCGGACTCCGCGCCATTGACTGGTTTGGCTCTATTACAGTTGTTTGTGGAACAGTCATGTTTCTCCTTGGCCTTGATTACGGCGGCGTTTCATTCCCCTGGACATCTGCAACTGTTATATGTTTGATCGTGTTCGGGGTTGTGACGCTGGGGATATTCGTGATCATCCATTGGAAGGTTGCCGCTTACCCCATCATCCCGCTCTGGCTTTTCAAACAGCGCTCGACTGTTGCGGCATATGGCGCAGCTCTATTCCACGGGTTCGTCTTTACGAGTGATTCGTTCTTCCTACCACTCTACTTCCAGGTTATTATCGGAGCTTCGCCGCTCCAGTCCGGTATTTATCTTTTCCCCTCAGTCATTTCAATGGCACTCGCCTCCGCATCAACAGGCATTTTCATTCGAAAAACAGGCCAATATCTCCCAGTCATCTGGCTCGGGTTCACCGTGATGCTGCTCGGCCACGGGTTATATATCGACCTGCCCTCACAAACATCCTGGCCCCGTATCATCATATACCAGATAATTTCGGGCCTTGGTATCGGCCCCAACTTTCAAGCTCCCCTCATCGCATTGCAAAGCCATATCAAACCAAGCGATATCGCAACAGCTACCTCTACATTTGGGTTCTGCCGAAACATTGCCAGCAGCGTTTCCGTTGTCATTGGCGGTGTGATCTTCCAGAACCACATGAAATCAAGGCTTGATAAACTATCCGGTCAGCTACCGCCACAAGTTATCCAACAGTTAGGCGCAACTTCCGCAGGTGCCAGTGCGGGAATTGTAAATTCGCTACCGGAAGATCAGAAGAGGCCTATCCTAGAGGCCTATACTAACGCTTTGCAGATGATGTGGGTGTTTTATACGGTGTTGTCGGCGGGGGGGTTAGCTGTGAGCCTACTGATTGGGAGGCAGACTTTGAGGAAAGAGCATGAGGTTACGAAGACGGGATTGGATGTTCAGGCGAGAGAGCGAGACGAGAGGCTTCAGAGGGAGAAAGACAAGAAGCTTGAGAAGGAGGAAAAGAAGAGAATGGATAATGCAACAGGAATATCGATACAGAAATGAGGTGAGTTTTGCAACTACGTTATGACCTGAGCCGAGAGAATGTTGATAGTGTCCAATCGCAGGTGCATTACATACATATATACATACATACTATATATTAAAGATAATCATTCCCTAGACATCATTATAAAAACACTCAAACTACTAATTATAATTAAATGCGGGCGTTTCCAATCCAAAAGTAAATAAATAAATAAATATTCTTAACCCCCTCTTTTATTCGAACCACCTCCCCTCCCCATTCCCTCCTTCTCCAATCAAAACATCGTTCCCACTCATCATCCTCACCCGCATCTTCCCTGCATGTTCCCCCTCCGTCTCAAACGTCCAGTGCTCAATCCCGTAACACCGCTTCCACTTCTTCCCATCGTCGCGATCCTGGTACTCGTACCAGAACTGCACCGCGATCTTGTTGTCCATGAAGGCAAACAGCTCCTTGCGCAGCTTGTAGTTTATCTCCTTCGCGAATTTATTGGTCAGAAATGTCTTGATGGCCTCTGTGCCGCTAAAAAATTGGTCCCTGTTCCGCCAGGTGCTGGTTGGTGTGTAGACTTTCGCGATTTCGGCCGGGTTTCTATATATTTAGCGGTGAGATAAATATCCATAGTTCACATATTATTTGAATGAGACCATATCACTATTTTCTACCTACTGAGAGTTCCAGAGATCTTGCGCACGCTGCACTTTCAGCTTGGCAGTCTCTTCCGTGTAGGGAGGTAAGAGGTTTGCCATTGTATAAAAATGATATATTATGCTAAACTGCTCGTGTTTCGGAATGGTGGGATTAGTTAAGAGGACGGTTGGATGTGACAAAATACGTTTGTCTTGATGTAAAATAAACGATTTCTCGATACTCCCACTTTTGGGGGAATGAATGTCCTTTTTCCGACTTTATATATATGTATATGATTATATATTTCTCGTAACCAATCTGTAGATTATTAACAACTCATTTAGCTTTGTGCCCACTAAGAAGATCTCGACCGAGTCAAACATCTGGCCTGCATTTCCCCCTCAGGATTAATAATTCATATTTCGTCATGGAACTCTGTTCCACATACATCTGGCTCGGGAATCCCCTGGCCTAACCTCCTAGGCTCCTACTACTCGTTATAGCTCCTCGTTCGGTGAGGTCAAAGGGCGCATCACATCGTTACGGGGCTTCCATTCGAGGCAGAGACGTCATCACCTATTTCCATTTCCCTGGAGAATTTTACGGACTTCAACTTTCCCCCAAGCTGGATTGAGGAGCAAGGGGATAGCCGCCTTTGATATTTTCATCTTTTAAAGGATTGTGAAAATAATAGCACTCCTGGGTCTGGTTGGCTGAAATGATTCGACTTCGTTGGCGTGGCACAGATAGCCTGCATCTTCAATTCGTCAAACTTCCAGTCCACTGACAAATCCATTGTTTTTATCCGATACATTCCAAGAAGGATAGAGCAGCAGGGGATGTCGTTTCCACCTTGCGGCGGCGGCAATTAAACCATGGATTAGAATTATATGATCAAGATACTACAAGGGTGGGAACAATGAGGAGACCTCGTTTCTGATTTTGTGACTCCGTGACTGTCATGATAATGGGTCTTCTATTATTTGGAGATACCAGTTGTCCATTCTCACTACTTCGAACAACCTGTGTCATATCCTGAGCCACCGAAACCAGAGGAGACAAAGAAACGACCTCAGGGAAAACGACAGAAAATAACCCACAAGATCACCAGGTGCAATCTACATAATAGGTTGATATCAGCCGCGAGGCTCTTTCTATTTCCCCTTTCCGCTCCAACAAATGACTGCGCGGATGTGTGTCTTCTTCTGCGGCCACCCGTGGACAATACACTCAAGCTAC